AATCACACACTCCATATCCTATGGTCCAAATCATTATAATGACATACTCTTTGATGCAATGTCAACAAATTGGGTATTTTAAGATCATGTGACTTCATGTTATCAATATCAAATTTCAAGCGTGTAAAAGTTTAATATCATTATAGAAATATACATCTTCAAAGTTAACCCTCACAAGGTAAGAAATACATTATAATTCCATGAACAACCACAATATGTAAGATACTTTAATTACAAGTAATTGTACACATTAAAATCTAACACTTTAATAAACACCAATAATATAAAAAATGAAACAAATAACATGTTACACATGAAAATTAACATAAGAACTCAATAAAACATTATGGACATGCCATTAAATCATTATATAAGCTCTCTAATCCAACCCCCCCACACAAGTGTATACATAACTCACACAATGGTCATAAAATTCCTAGAACCCCAAAGTTATAAGCACAATACACCCCTACCTCAAGCTAGGAGCAAACCCTAGCTACCACAAAGGAAGAATGTGCTCCAAATCCAAAATTGATTGAGGGGTTTTGAAGCCACCGATATTCTCGTCAACTTTCCCTTCTATGGCAACCTCAAAATCTCAAAGGTTGGAGGTGAAATGGTGGGAAAATGGTTGAAGTAAAATGAAAAAGAGAAGAGAGGGAAAGACAAAAGAGAGTGTCGATGGAGTGAGGAATGAGAGGGTTTGGCTTATCTACACACACATGTACATATCACATACATTCTTATCCACACATATGTCACCAATTAGTCAACCGTAGGCCCCACAACATAACAAAATGCAATAATGTCCCACAAATAAAAATAAAGCTTATAAGCATAATATAAACACTACAATTTCATGAATAAGGGTAATGCAGTTAAAAATAAATAAAAAAGGAAAAGGAAAAAAAAACTTGGTCCTCACAAATTCTAACTATGTTATTTTATCATTTATAGTATCCCGAGAATGTCGAATCTAACAAAGCTTTAATTTGTTGCCTTTGATATTTTGGGTAAGAATTATTTATCATGGATCCTTGATGCTGAGATCCACTTGGATGCAATGAATCTCAAAAATACAATTACAGAAGGAAATGAAGCATCTCTACAAGATCGGACAAAGTCAATGATTTTCCTTCGGCGTCATATCCATAAGGAATTGAAAAGTGAGTACCTCACGGTTAAAGACCCACTCACACTTAGAAAAAATTTGAAGAAATGGTATGAGCATCAAAGGACCGTAACCTTTCCAAAGGCCAGATATGACTGGATACACCTGCGTCTGTAGGATTTCAAAAGTGTGAGCGAATATAATTCGGTCTTATTCAAAATAAGCTCACAATTAATGTTATGTGGAGAAAATATTACTGATGAGGACATGCTGGAAAATACTTACTCAACATTCCATGCCTCGAACGTATTCCTCCAACAGCAGTATTGAGAGCGTCGATTCACTAAATATTCGGAGTTAATTTCATGCTTATTGGTGGCCGAACAAAATAACAAACTTTTATTAAAAAAACCACCAGTCTCATCCGATCGGATCAGATCTATTTTTTGAAATAAATACATCCTCATTTCACGATCGTGGACATGGTTGTGGACGTAGTCGTGGTCGCGGTAGAAATAATCACCATAACCGTGGTGGTTATCATTCCTCGATATCTCTTAGAAGAAGCTACTCACCGTACCACCGGGAGGGGAATACAAGTGATAACAAGTAAAAAAAAATGAAAGGTTTACAAGATAAACATTCTAAGAAGTATAAAGATGCTTGTTATAGGTGTGGCATGAATGGGCAGTAGTCACAAGTTTGTCGAACGCCCAAGCATTTAGTCAATCTTTACCAAGCCTCAATAATAGGAAAAAGGGAAAGAAATTGAAACAAATGTTGCAGAAATATGTGAACCATTGGACATTGCTCATTTTGACGTTTTAGATTTATTTGAAGATCCAAGTGCCAAAATTGATCATTTGATTGGTGATGGAGATGTCCGCATCAATTAATGATCATCATCTTTTTATCGGTAGTGTGTTATTTTTCTTTTGGTGTGTTAGTTTTCTTTTGTTGTATTGTCGCTGGTATGTTAGTTTTCTTTTATTGTACTGTTGCTGGTGTGTTTCTTTTATTGTATAATAATTAGTGTGTTATTTTTAGTGTATTTTCATCTATAATTCTTTTAAATTAGTATGGATATTGCATATTTAAAGATGCATGAATCTGACTAATGCAATGACTGAGCATAGAAAATAAATGATAAAGATATATTTCTTGCATAATGTACTTGGTTAGCATTTTCTTTATATAAGATATCTTGTATCTTTAAAAGATGATATCTTTAAGGAAATCTTTGTAATTTTTCCACCATTAAAGGGAGAAATGTCGCAACTAGAAGACTAGATAAAATCTTTTGAATGTTCAATAGCATCAAGAAAGTAATTATATGCCAGTTGCAAAGTTTCCAATATTGATATCCATATAAGACAATTCATCAATATTACAACAAATACATCTAAAATATGCCTGAAGCGTGGGAGATCTGTTGGTGCAAAAGATACTATTCTCGAAGAGGAAAGCATAAGAAAAGTTGCATAAAGGAGTTGGCGCTCCTGGAGAGGCCACTCTAAAGAGAGCAACAAAATGAAAAGGTACATAAAGAAATTGACACTCTTGAAGATGCCACTCTCATAAATAAAGCAACAAAATGATTGATCAATCTAGATTTTCTAAACAAATAGCTCCTAATTGGGCAAGGCCTAGGTACCTAAACATGATGAACTAATTGCTCTTTATGAGACACATACCCTTGAAGAGGCATATGTACCTGACAATGCTGAGATCTCAATAAATTATAGTGAAAAGAAAAATATTGTCGACAATATATATTTTTAATTGTAAGTTGCTCTTGGTATTTTGACACTGATAAGGATCCTGAATGTTAAAAACATCGATGTAAAATGATTGGCCAAAATGAAAAAAATTAATACATGCAGAATTTAAAAAATACTTAGACCTATAGTCCAGACACTTAAAAGTAATAAGCCTGTAAATGAATATTTGTACTATAATGAAACGAGGGAAATTAAATTGTAAGATACAAAGCACGATTGGTAGTGCAAAGTTTCTCTCAAATACCTGATGTAGGTTATCTTTCTGAATCCACATAAAGCTCGATCATAAACAAGATACTGATTAACTTGTAGCAACACTACTATATCAAGGCGATCTATGAAGCAAGCCGGGAGTACATGTAGTTGAGCTCTATGGTATGACATTCAAGAAACTGATGCACGATATTAAAACTCAAAGACTTTCCATGCTGAAGTAATGCAACAAATATGCATATAAGGGGGAAAAATGATTAGAAAGGTATTGGCATACTGTACTCTTTTTCCTTCGCTCAGGTCTTGTCCCACTGGATTTTCCTTGCAAGGTTTTAATGAGACAGTTTTAACCTATGCAATACTATTTTCACATACACAAGAATATTGTACTATTTTTCCTTTGCTAGATTTTCATCCCACTGGGTTTTTTCTAGCAAGATTTTAACGAGGCATCTTCTTAGTGTAAATTAGTGGACCCAAGGGGGAGTGTTATAACAGTGGGTCTACTCATAATCAGTACATGATAGTGTTTTGTTGGTGTGACTAGTTGGAGGCTTTTGATTGGTATAATGATGTGGTGATATCAATGGTGTATCTAGCTAGGGTAGGGTTAGGCTCCAGCCCACCCTAATGTTTGTTTTTTTAAAAAAAAATTACTATGGGTAATTTTAATCCAGCCAAGAAAAAAAAAAAAAAAATTTATTATTAGTATTAGCCCACCCATACAAGCCCAAGCCAGTTAAGCTACAATATTAAAATAAACGCCCAAGCCAAACAAGCCCTACTAAAAAAATTTGCTTACGAGATTATTTTATTAAATTTATATTTAATTTTAGCCCACCCCATTGACAATTTCTGGATCTGCCTTTGGGTGATATAAGGTTGGTTTGATGATGCAAAGAAGGAAAAGCTTTTGATTGGTACAATGATGTGCTGATATAAGGTTGGTATGATGATGCAAAGACGGTGGGCGCCGAAATCAAGAAACAAGCAACATAGAGGCGCTGCAATTCATATATGTGTGTGTGTGTGTGTGTGTGTGTGGTAGTATGTTGTAGGTGTATTCTTTCCAAATAATAAAACTTCCTTTCGGATAGGTCCAATATATATATATATATATATATATATATATATATATGTTATATTACACTTCTTTCTTTGACATGTCTCTCAATATATTTATTTATATATTTATCTATTTATGGGTCTTCAGCTCAATTTAAGCTTTTGTTCAGGTAGACCTCATGTTAGTATTATTGTTGTTTTTGGAAGATGATGTTATCTAATGACATGCTCAGAGACTTCTTAAGCTTAGCACTTTCAAGAAATGGTCTTGCACAGAGAGTATAAAATCACTGGAGTGGTGCAAGACCAATTCTTGAAAATGCTTTTAGTCTAAACGTTATACCAACAATACACAAATCAAATTAACAAAATGTGTTTTATCAAAGAGATTTCCATAATCCCATGTTTGATAGGCATCATAAGCAAATCAAAGTCCACTGGAATTTTAATCATAATGGTCAGTACTAAAGCGTACTACAACAACACTGAACACTATGAGCAAATCCTTCACCCACCTCTACTTTTCTTGTTTCTTTATCTGAATCCCTTTGTCATAGACAACATTTCAATTTCTGCTTCAACAATTAAAGTATCATTCACTATGAAGCCCTTTGATTTGTCATTGAGATCACTTAGACCATGAAGCTCACGTATCCACTGATCGTACGCGTGGCAGAGAACCAGAAATCAACTGCAAAGATAAAATTTCAAAGAAATTGTTAGATTGACCCAAAAAAAAAAAAAAACAAAAATATACAGTTCTTATGTTCCCTTTCTCGGTGTTCACTAAAGACTTGGTCCCTTATCCTCAGCTTGTATTTTGCACACAGTTAGGGTTTAAGAAAGAGGTTTCCAGAATCAGCTAGTTCAAGAAATAGAGATAGGCTTTGGCTTTTTGCAGTTCCATGTCCATTGGGACATAACAAAAGCTTCCTGCATTCATTATAATTAAGAAGACAGAAATAATAACTTAGCCTAGAAATCAAAAAAGCCAATTTCAAATTAAGAATAGCCAAATTTAAGGAAGACATGGAAATGTTGATCATACCACTTTCGTCCTCCAATGTTAAACTCCCTAGAGAAAAGAGATTCTTTGCATGCTGAAAAATTATCAATCTCCCAAGTGTAAACATTGTCACTTCGTAAGTTTGTAATGGACAAAGACTCACCTTTGCCTGCCAATTTCATAACAACAACCTCTGCTCCAAATACACAGCTGTCATCTATGAGGTTCCCATTCGAAGGATTTTGGAACTCTTCGAGAGAGAGAAATTTCTCAAAACCAAATTCACTCTTCATCCAATGGAAGCACCTTAGTTGTTTGTAATACCCCAATATTTTAAAGGATTTATTAATTGAAATTAATTACTTTTATTTTATTTTTAAATAATTTATTTGATTCAATTTGAATTAATTGTGTTTATTTTAATTTTTAATTGATTTGTTTTATTGAGTGCTTAGATTAATTATTTTATTTTATTTATATTTCGTGAATTATTGATTTGATAATTGTTGTGTGTGTGTGCTTAATTATTGATTGAATTGTTGGCGTGTTGATTTTATTGGTATGGTGCAACTTGGTTGTAATTTATTATTTTGTTTATGTGCTTAGTGTAATTAGGATTTTTATTTTATTTTATTTTATTTTATTATTTGGTTTATTTAAATTAATTGAATTTGGGCTTAAGGGAAGTTGAACCAAAAGATGTGGTCTTGGGCTTGTATGAAGCCTTATTGGGTTAATTAATAAAGGCTCATGATTATTTAATTATTTAAATGATCATTTTTGTATTAATTATATATATATATATATATATATATAATTATATATAAATATAATTAATTAATAATTATTATAGAAAGATATATATATATATAGATATATATTTATTGATATATATAAGTATATATGATTTAATTAGCCAATGGGTTAATTATGGAAGGCGTATATATATATATATATATATATATATATATATATATATATATATATATATAATATATGTATATATCTATAAATTATTTAAAGATTATTATTTTAATTCATAGTCCTAGTTGGAATAGAATTTGGATTTTAATGTGTATAAATATACACATAAGGCTTTAGGATTAAAAGTTTACACCTTAGAAAAATAAGGGAGGCAGAGAGAGAGGAAGAAGAAGGGCTGATAAGGAGGAGACCGGATCTGAGAAGGAGGACGTTTGGATTGGAAAAGACAATCAAAGCTTGAAGCGTCGGTTTCGTTTTGAAACCTTCAAGCGAGTTCTTTTCTAACTTTCCTCTTAAAACCCATAAGGATTTCACTTTAAATCATGGTTAGAAAGGAGTTAATAAAAAAAATATTAAGTTAATTTTATTTGATTAAATCAGGATTAAATTGGAATATTAAAAGCATGTTTTATTATTATTTTATTTTTTGGAATTGTTGGATTTTAATTATATATATAGGTTGTATACATTTAAAATCATTGTTATACTTGATCTGTGACCCAAGATGAGTTAATTAGGATTTATTTTTCTGAATTTTCTAAATTTATTTTATATTTTTTTGAAATTATGCTATAATTGTTTTCTATATTATTTTAACAAAATTATATAAATGTTATTTATATATATATACACTGGCGGAGGCGTCAGTAGTATGTGCGCAACAATAGGGTTGAAATCCAGTGTGAACGAGTGCATAGGAATTTGATACACACACTAATCTGGTCCATTGGAGTGTTTAATTGTTTTGATATCTCTTAATTTTGTGCGCGGATTTGATCAACCCATGTTCTGAAATTAGGGGGTATCACAGTTGGTATCAGAGCACTCCAGGTTCAAGTTTCCCTAGGGTGTCTTTCGTTGTGTGACTTCCGCGTTGTGTACTCTTTTAATTAGAGCTTAAGGTTAGGATTCATTGTATTCTATATTCGGTCCGTTAGTATGTCCTAATGGTAAATTGTTGAGTCTTATCCGAAAATGGTAAGACACTGATTTGGAAGGTATTTGAGGAGGAAGGAGCATAGGCGTCAGAATCGTATGCTAAATTAGTATATAGGAGATAATATTTATTGTAGAAACTGATTGAATGACATAGATTACGAAGGTCGATAGTTTACGTTCACACAGTAAACACAGATGCGAGATAGAGTAGATAACTGAATTGTGGACAGTTATTACTTCTACACTCAGTATTGTTCAGGGAGGATGAATGTAGTTGCATAATTCGTTTTTAAGTTTTGTTTTGAGGATTAGGGTGTTCCAAGGTTATTTAGATCAAATTAGGTGATTTAAATGGTTGAAATAGAGTGGTTAAAATCTCAAAATGCATAATATACATTAATATACTAAGGACTTGAACAATATGGAATTTTAATTAACTTACATGTTATGAATGAAGGATTTAGTTGCTTAATATTATTCGAGCAATTTCAATGTATATTTATGTGATTTTAATCATGTATTAGCATATAAAATAATCATGTATTTATCGAATTTTATTATTATTACTTCAGTAATTATTAATAGATTTATGGATAGTGGATTTTAGTTAAAGGGTCCTTAAGTTACGGGATTCCCAAGTTGTAACTATTGGAGAGTTATTAATTGAGATTTTTATTTATTAGTTTTTCTTCTGCGTATTATGTATTCTTTTATTTCATTTTGTACTATGTGTTTATTTGAAGTACTTTAATTGTTTTGATATCCCTTGGTTTTGTGCGCGGATATGATCAACTCGTGTTCCGAAATTAGGGGTATTACATTGTTCAACATCTACACATATATGTATCAATATATATTGTGTTGCTATAGTAGATTTCTGAATATTTAATGTATAATAAAAAATATATCTTACATTACCTTCAATAGTTAAGCACTTGTGTTGTATATTATCAAACACAAACAATTTGAAGTTTACGTTAATCTCCCAACCACAAGGAAGGTTTTCTGTATCAACTATTACCAGGTATAAAGAGATGTACCCTTCCCCATTCCTTTTCTTATTTCCATTTGGGTATATACACAATTTCCTGAAATTCCAAAATCCATAGATATGATTAATTTAGTCTCGACATAGAGAACATAGATAAATTGAACCGTGTAAGGAAAAAAATAAAAAAGTTCAAACCCACCATTTATAGCCACCAGCCTCAAAATCATCTGTTTCATATTTTTCAATTTTGGTTTCCAGAAGCGTTGAGAAAGACTCTATCTTGAATAAGTTATGTGATGGTTTAACATCACGCAATAATCTTTTAACTTCTGCATCAGATTCAACACATATATTAACATGACCCGGGCTACAATAGTAAATAAATTCATGTAAAGGGAAAATAAAAGAAGATTTTTGTGTACAATGGAAAATCATATAAAATCAAATTCACTCTTCATCCAATGGAAGCACCTTAGTTGTTCAACATCTACACTTGGAGATATGTATCAATAAATATTGTGTTGCTATAGTAGATTTCTGAATATTTAATGTATAATAAAAATAATATGTATTACATTACCTTCAATTGTTAAGTGCTTGTTGTGTATATTATTATCAAACACAAATAATTTGAAGTTTAAGTTAACCTCCCAACCACAAGGTCGGTCTTCTGTGTCAACTATTACCAGGTATAAAGAGATGTACCCTTCCCCATTACCCGGAAAATAAAAAAAAAAAATTAACTTACCAACTATGTTAGATGACATTTCTTGCTGAATCTAAAATGTAAGAATTAATAAAAACGACTTTTGACTTTCTTGTTGGTGATCACTTCTCTTAGGCTTAGTTGTGTGTGTGTATATATATATATATATATATATATATGTACATCAATCCAGATAGACAACGGATAGTGTTTTAGTGTAATTTTGTAACTAATTTTAAAAAATAAGCAGTCAAATCTAATAATTTGAAAAAGTTAACATTTTTTAAAATATACAAAATTAAGTAGTGAATTTTTAGTATAATTTTGTAATAATTAGTTTTAAAAAATTAGCAGTGAAATCTAATAGTTTGAAAAAGTTAGCATTTTTTAAAATATACAAAATTAAGTAGTGAAGTTCTAAATTTTCCTTGAGTAAATCAGCTAACTTGTTTCTTCACTCTTTACTGCTCCACAGTCATGGTAATATTGGAAGACGAACGTACACTGTTAAAAAGTATAAGAATATGGGTCCAACACTGACACATGTGGACACGACTCTGCAAGTGTCGGACAAGCCACACAAAATTAAAAGTTTAAATTTTATTAATTTATTTTAATTTCTTCAAAAAAAATTCTTAGATCTGGTCAAAATATATATATTTTTATATATACTGTTTCATAGACAACGGATCAATAAAATATCAAAGGACTGAAAAGCCCATGTAAAAAAACAAATCATATATATATATATATATATATATATATATTTTAATATACCAATCTCTCTCTCGATCACTACGAACAGCACAGCATAGTATTCCATCCCACCCAAGAATTCTAGCAATAATTTGGGGTGCAATGGAAGAGCTCAATTGAATGGTTCTTATTTACAAGAAACATTGCATGGTACATAAATCTTCAACCCACAATGAGAGGATTTACTGTTGGCTCTTTCTTCAATTAATTTCTTCAACTAAGTAAACCGATGGTTTAGTTAATTACAGGGAAAAAAAAAAACCGATGATTTAGGATTGGAGAAGAAAGCAACAAGACAGACCCGATTAAAGCCAAAAATCTAGGATTCTTCGTGTTCACCATTGACTTGGTCCATTATCCTCAACGTGGATTTTGCATACAGTTTGGATTTAAGGTAGCGTTTTTCAGATTCAGCTACTTCAAGAAACAGAGATAGGCTCACACCTTTCACCTCACCATTTCCTTTGGGATAGAGAAAAAGCTTCCTGAACTCATTACAACAGGACACAAATAACAGCTTTTATACCTTGGAAATCAAACAAGCCTGTTTGAATTTGAGAACATCTAAATTTTCAAATAACAATAATAATAAATAAAGGAGGATCATACCAGTTCCAACCTCCAATGTCAAACTCCTCTGAGCACAGACGTCGTTTAGTTATTTCTGAAAAATTATAAATCTTCCAAGTGAAAATTTTGTCCCATAGTAGCTTTTTCATGGACCGACACTCACCCTTCCCTTCATATTTCGTAACAAAAACCTCTGCTCTGAATACACAGGTGTCATCTATTAGGTACCCATTTGAAGGATTTTGGAACTCTTCTAGAGACACAAATTTCTCAAAACCCCATTCAGTTTTCATCCCATGGAAGCGCCTTACTTGTTCAGCATCTACATTATGACATTATATATAAATATCTATCTTTATATTGATCTATATTTGAGGATACCAAAACGACCCGGGCTTGGAGTGATCCACATTGCATAGGATGGGTCGGATGTGGATAAACGGGATGGAGCCAGTCCATAAAGCCATTTCAGAAGCCCATGATGAAATGAGAGGAATCGAGTCCAGCCAAAGGAGAATATGATAGGATCAGCTCAGTGGAGGTTGTAATTGTTTATAAATAGAAGGGATTGAGAGGGAAAAGTGGTTGAAAGATTATTGGGGGTGTAAAGTTTCTCTCTCTACAATTAGGGAAAAATTCTTTGTACTTTCAATTGGCGCCGTCTGTGGGAATCACAAGAAGGATTGATTGATATCATTCTAGATCGGATCGATTCAACGCATTCTGCGAGGAAGACGACTACTCTGCGAAAGCTGAATCAACATTGATGATAATACGCCTTGTCTTGACGAGTCAAGGCTCTGGTTGATTTCGGAAAATTGGCGTCCGATCCAAGCAGATCAGATCCGTGCTTGATCCGGCGAACTGCGCAATTGCGATCTGTTGTGATTACTGAATCCGGCCAGTAGTGGACTGAATTCAGCAAGTGTAGGTTCAGATCTGGTGTGCGCGCGTTAGCGGAGCTCCGATTTGGTCAAGAAGTCTGCAGTTGATGACTTTGCTCCGATCTGGAATGATGATCGGAGAGGCGAACTCGAATCCTTTGGAGAACGGCCAGCAGACAAAGCTCGACGAGCTGATGAACATGATCGATGCTTTGAGGAAAGAAAATGCAGAGCTACGAGCTGGAATGGAGCATCGTGAGGCTCTTGCAGTTCCGAGGCCACCTCCTGAAGGAGAGGGAGCTTTACCGTCCGAAGCTGATCGTCAAGGTGATCCAGAAGACGTCAATCGTGGTGGTCTACGTCGTGATGAAGATATAATCGGTAATCTGCCTCCGAATGCCGGCAGAGTAGAAGATCGGGAAGGATCTATTCGTCTGGAACCGCATCACAAACGGATTATGAGGGAGGAAGCACCAGCGTATGAACATCGGGTTGCGTCACCATGGCGGAGTGAATTTGCGAAGGATAGGTCGTTCGATCCGCCATACCGACCTTCATTAGCGACAGTTGATTACAATAGTTCGGAAAGGAGATCTGTCGATCGAGGATTTCCGTCACGATTTTCAAGAGAAAACGAAGCATTGCGTTCCTCAGCAAGGACGGTCGCATCGCTGTTCACTGATGAAATTCTGAACACGCCGAATTCGAAGAAGTTTTCCATGCCGATCTTCATTCTGTTTGACGAAACAACTGATCCGGTCGATCACATATACCATATTCAGTTAAAAATGGCTTTGAATACTAATAATGATCCTTTGATGTGCAAGTGTTTCCCTACGAGCCTGGCTGGACCAGCTCTCAATTGGTTCAAGAATCTGGCTCAAGGCTCAATCGCCAGTTTCCAGGACTTATGCGATAAGTTCATAAGCCAGTATTACGGGAATAAGCGTCCGGCTAAGGATGTATCGAGCCTTTTTACAATGAAGCAGCATGAGGATGAGCGGCTCCAAGCTTTTCTTACCCGGTTCAACCTCGTTAAGAGCATGGTAATGGAGTGCCACCCGTCCACAGCAGTCCAAGCATTTAAACTCGTAATGAACCGGGGGACGCCGTTCCACACCAGCTTGGTGGTTAATACGCCAAAGACAATGGACGAGCTGAACGAGAGAGCTGACAGTTTTGTTCGCCTTGAGGAGGAAGAAGCAGCTAATTCAAGGAAGACGTCGATTATTTCGACGGAGGAGAAGTCCAAAGCCAAGATCCAGCAAAAACAAGCTCAACCGCAACGTCACCCCTCATGGAAGGCGGAGAAGAGGCCCAGGGAGGAGGAATCAGTCACTCCACTCAGAGTCACTTTAGCAAGGCTATACCAGGAGAACAAAGATAAGTTTCATCCTCCTCTGCCAATCAGGCAACCTCTTGAACAGAGAGATCAGACTAAACATTGTGCTTTCCATAGTGATTTTGGGCATCAGACTAACGAATGCAGGAACCTAAGGAGGTAGGTAGAGATGCTGATCGCAAAGGAGGAGTTTGCAAGCTATGTCCAGGGTCTGGTGCAAGAGCATAATCGCCCGACTGAGCAAATCAAGCGGAACCAGAGGCCAAACCAACACAACTCCCAACCCGTCAGGATTATAAATGAAATTCATGGCCGGCCTGAGCAAACGACGGAGTCAGAAGAGTTGCTCAGGACGAGGTTACGCCAGGCCCAGCTGAAAAGAAGAATTGGCAGTGTGCATGCTTTACACCAGCAGAACGCGTCCACTTCGATAAAGTTTGATAAAACGGACCTGCTACGCGTTCAGATTCCTCATGAAGATCCGCTAGTCGTCAGTCTGACAATTGCAGAATGCCTGGTTCGGAGAGTCCTGATTGATCCAGGAAGTAGTGCGAATGTCATGCCCAGGGTGACGTTCGACCGACTGGAGATCGCACCCGAAAAGCTCAAACCCACAGGGAATCCGCTGCTCGGATTTGATGGGAAGCGAGTGGAACCCATTGGAATAGTAGAATTGACAGTGCAAGCCGCTGAGCGAGTTTTGACCGAAAGTTTCGTAGTAGTGGAAATTTTTCCATCATACAACCTCTTGATGGGCAGAGGATGGATTCACAGAGTTCAGGGCGTTCCGTCAACCTTACATCAAGTGATGCGATGCCTAGGTCCGAATGGGTCCAAGGTGATAGATATACACGGGGACCAGGTTGCGGTTAAAGAATGTTATTCAGTAACTTTAAAATCTGCTGGAAAAGGGAAGAATCCCATCCGTTCCGCCATTCCAAAATAGCAACTACAGAATTCTTCACCCAACAAGGATGGGGGGGAGGAGCCGCCAGTTCTGACCACAGAACCCCTTCATGAAGCAAAGATTGACCGTGGAAGACCAGACCGAACAACAAGGGTGGGCACCAAACTCACTGAAGAAGAGAGACTAGAGTTGACTAATTTCCTGATTCGGAATGCGGATGTATTCGCATAAAGCCATTCAGATATGCCGGGGATAAATCCTGTTGTATCCTGCCATTCCCTCAATGTGGATCCGAATGCAAAACCAGTAAAGCAGAAGCAGAAAAGATTTGCTCCAGAACGAAACCAGATTATAGCTGAGGAGGTTGATCAGCTGCTTGAAGCCGGATTCATCAGAGAAGTTCAGTACCCGGCCTGGCTTTCTAACGTTGTTGTAGTACAGAAGAAGAATGGAAAATGGAGAGTGTGCATCGACTTCACCAACCTAAACAAAGCCTGCCCAAAGGATAGTTTCCCATTGCCCAGGATTGATCAAATGGTAGATGCCACCACAGGATATGAGCGGTTAATGTTCCTGGATGCTTATTCCGGTTATAACCAAATTCCTATGGATCCAGTTGATGAAGAGAAGACTTCATTTATTACTGAACGAGGGACTTATTGCTATAAAGTCATGCCATTCGGATTAAAAAACGCTGGAGCCACTTATCAAAGGCTGATCAGTAAGATTTTTAAGGGCCAGATGGGAAGCACTGTCGAGGCTTACATTGATGATATGGTGGTCAAGAGTAAGAAGAAGAGCGATTATTTAGTGCACCTGCAAGATGTGTTCGATGTGTTGCGCCAGTATGGAATGAAGCTTAATCCGGCCAAGTGCTCATTCGGTGTAAGTTCCAGTCAATTCCTGGGACATGTGGTCAATCATAGAGGAATCGAGGTCAGCCCAGCACAGGCAGAAGCCTTAATCAGGAATGCAGAGCCAAAGACAATTAAAGAGGTGCAGGCACTCACAGGCAGGATAGCCGCGCTCAGCCGATTTATTTCCAAGCTTTCGGACCGCTGTAAACCTTTCTTCGATACAATACGAGGGCATGGAAGGCAAACTTGGGGGGATGAACAACAGCAGGCACTAACCAGCCTGAAGGAGTACATGCGTAATCCCCCAGTTCTGTCTGCTCCAGAACCGAATGAGAGACTTTTTCTATATCTCGGGGTGTCCAGCATAGCAACCAGTGCCGTTCTGATCCGTTACAAAGAGGGTAAGCAGTTCCCGGCGTTTTATGTTAGCAAGACAATGTCTGAACCAGAGAGAAGATACTCTAAGGCCGAACGAATGACCTTGTCGCTGGTTAACGCAAAAAGGAAGCTTAGACACTATTTTGAATCTCACCCAATCGTCGTTTTAACAACTTTCCCTTTGAGAATGATCCTGCACAAACCGGACCTGTCGGGGAGAATGACCAAGTGGGCCATTGAATTAAGTTCATTTGATATCACATACGAGGCCAGGACAGCAATCAAAAGTCAAGCGGTGGCGGATTTCCTACTTGACTGTGATGATGAAGATACGGTGGAGGATTGTAATTGTTCTTGGTGGAAGCTTTTCGTAGACGGCTCCTTGAATCAAATGGGGGCCGGGATTGGAATTCAATTGCAAACACCAGAAGGAACTACGCTGAGCCAAGCGATAAGACTAGAGTTCAGCGCGACCAACAATGAGGCAGAATACGAGGCGCTGATAGCCGGGTTGAAGTTGGCTAAGGAATTGAAGATCAAGAATCTGATGGCTTATAGTGACTCGCAACTAGTCATTCGACAAGTCAATGGGGACTATGGAGCCAACGATGAGACCATGGAAGCATACCGAACTTCGGTTCTGCGTGAGGCGAAAGCCTTTGATCAAATCAGGTTTATCCAGTTGCCAAGAGAGTATAACGAAGATGCCGATCGCTTGGCTTGTAGTGCATCCAGTTCTGGAGATACTTTAGCTAGGGTCATCCCGGTCGACATACTGATCCAACCTTCCATTTTTTAAGAACTGTCCAATCCGAGCACTCAGCATGTTAATGTTATACCATATGAGCCGAGCTGGATCGATCCAATCATGGCTTATATACGTAGTGGCACACTCCCCGAGCGTAAGGACGAGGCAAGAAGAATT